CCCTTGGTTAAGAGTGTTTAAAAGCAATTTGGACGAAAATGCCCTCAAATGTTTTATTGAGGTTTTATTAAGAACGGAAATGCCCTTCAATGTGTTTGGGCGAAACATTAATTAAGATAAATTCTCTTGTTTTACTTAATTAATAATATTTTTTTTTATCGAAAATGGATATTCACTACCAGACACAAAAACAGAGAAGATGTTTGCCCTAAAAATGAACATAGCTATATAGTTTACTTTAAGAAAATGTGAGTTGCGACATATAATAAATCAAGCCCAAACAGAAGCAAATACATAAAATAACACCAACCACTCATATCAGATCAAGCTAAGTCCATAGCAAAGCAAACCAAAGACATAAACACATCTAGAGCCAAATAGGGAACATCATTTGGCGTGCGGGCCGAAGTGGATAGCCCAAGGTCCGATGGGCCAAAGTCTAGCCCAACCAGTTCTAAGGCTAGGTAGGACTTGTGCTTAGGATTTTAAACCTCCGGCCAAGCCAGATTAGGCCCGCCCATGGCCCGACCCTAGTAGGCTCGCCCATTTGCCTTATTTATGTTTTTTGGTTTTTCCTTATATTGCCTTATTTCCATTCCAAACATTCAAGTAAATGTTTTGTCTTTAAATTTAATTTATTTTTATATTACGCCATTTACTTAAGTTTACAATGTAAATAAGGAAGTCCCCGCATTTGGATTCAATTAAAGATACAGTTTATACCAATATTGATACCTCATAAAATCATGTTTGATTATTTAAGATACAAGGAATATAAATTGCCAAAAATATCATTGAAATCATTAGTATTTCGAAAGTCTATTTTTCATAATTAGTCAAAAATCTACATATTATACTTTAAAAACTGTTTTCTCTCCAAATTTGATTAAGTATGAAAAGACAAGACTCGGCCCGACCTGTAAAAAGAAAAAGCCTGATAAGGCCCGGTCAAAGCCCGAAAATTTAGAATAACACCAAACAACTCAAATCAAATCAAATAAACATCCTGTAGTGGATTCAATTTTTTTTTCAAGTAATTAAAATAACACCAAACCACTCCAAACAAAACAAAGTTACTTATAATTTTCCCTTCTTTATTAATCATCATAATCCTCGTAGAGCGCAGGATAGCTAGCATCTAGCACAATGCCACAATGATTGCCAGGAGTGCCGTCATTTTCAACAATTTCATAAATCCCCCTACACCCTACATGTCACCCCCAAGTTCTTGATTATCTAGTATTGGTCATCGGTAGTTTCGTCACACATTCCTCGTGAAATATCCGACCTTTGTATTTTTCAAATTTGGAGCTGTGGGCATCGACACCGACCACCATTGGCTGTTCGTAGATAGCATAGGCCAGCTTGTCTTCAATTCTTGATGTCATTATTGCATAGGTATCGATATTGAGACCATCTCCTCTTTCCTTAATAGCGTCATATGTTCCTTTGATACCCCGGTATGGGTAATTTTGTTTGGTGTTTAGACCTCCGTTTTGGATTATGTAATCGTAGGCCTTCAATTTGTTTCCACCCGAGCACCCGTAGTTGGAAGCATTGCAGTCGATCAAATGTTGAACGAACATCATCGAAGGCTATTGTAAATTGAAAGTTATAGCGTGAAGGGCTTCCACCACTGAAGTGGTCGAAAACACCCAACACGAACCGGTGCATATAATATAATATATAAGTTTGAGTTACACACACAACACATGCATAAAATAATTAGCAAAAAGTAAGAAAAAAGAAAATTGCATGCATAATGGTTGCTAGTACAGTACTATACTTCATTTCTCTTACCACAAGTTCCTTGATACCTTACGCGTTTGATACTTGCAAAAGATTCTGACCAGTCAATGCCCACCACATATCCTATGGACGCCCTCACAGGAGGAGATAACAAGAG